AACGATATTCGTCGAGATGTATCCGAGTCGCTTTCCATCAACATTGCACAATCTCTTAACCCTCGCGTTCGTCCCTTGTGTCAATTTGACACATTTTACTTGTAAAATGTTACAGCTATCATTTTGCAGCGCGTATCCTACAGATACAGACAGTGAGGTTCAGTGATATTTATTTTTCTATGTGTAATAAAGTAATAAATTTTCTTCTTAAACTTAAAATCTGATCTGTTTCAAATGTTGATTAAAAATATTAATAAGCTCATGTTTGTTACGAAAGTGGTAACGAAAAAAAGAATTTAATTGAATTTGAAACATATTATGGCAAAAGATTATTTTAAGAATTTGAACAAGATGCCCTCTAATAAAAATCATAAGAAACAATTCTTTGGTAACATTAGAGAGAAAAAGTGAGTTAACGACTTTCTATTCTTTGCAATTCTATTCTTTATAAATAAAAATCCGATACTTGTTACAAAATGTGCATTTATTATGTATCTGGCCCATTTGAAACGGGACATTTAATCTGTGTGACTCATCATGTTAGTGAATATGCGTAATAAATGGAATAACGTTCGAAACGTTACAAAATATGTATCGATATCATGAGAAATTTCATTGAGAATTTCGATGTCTGAAATATTAATATTGAGACTCATATTGTTCCTGATTCAAAGTTCTTGCTTACGGGGGCCATATTATCGTCTATTATGGGGACTAATATGGGAACCAACGCGCATTGAACATCTGCACGTAAGGGAAGAATTTGTGCTTTACAGGCGATTAAATGGAATTTTAATCTATAAAAGAATTTACGAATTTTACTATTTATCTTTTCATTTCATGTCAATTTCACTTTATCATGTCAATTTCACTTTAACAGACAAAATGAGTTAATAATATTTATGCTGAAGATCTCATTCGGTAAGTAGATAGATTAATCCTTTCAGTCGCAGTTTTTTTTATATTTTTGATTAAAGTATTCCTTTTACCGTAAATATACAAAAGTTAGAAACAAGCTGACAGTAAGACAGACAGTAAGTTGACTGAGAATATATATCCCGCAAAAAGAAATCACCTGGAATACATTCCAGAAAAGCAATATAAAAGAATAACGCAAATATTAAAAACGGAACTTGATTAACAACTTTCTTATAATACTACTTTTCTTCCTTTACAAGAAAAAAGCAATAAATCAGGACATAAAAAGTAACATAGTTTCGCAACTTTATCCATAAAATAAATTTTTATTTAAAATAAAGTTTCACTTATCCCTTTCCTAGTAAATATATAAGTGTTATCCATAAAATAAATTTTTATTCAAAATAAAGTTTCACTTATCCCTTTCCTAGTAAATATATTACTATTCAAAATATCGATAGCTACAGATGATTCTTAGTGCTAGCTGTATAATTTTATTGAACTATTGCAAACTGATCGATGACGCAAGTTTTCCAATTATATAGAGTCGTAGCTGTATCGGTTAGTTTCTAACGTGATAACACACTGAATGTACGTTTTCACATATAAATTTAATTCGCGCGTCACTTACACATCAAGTGTAAAAATTAAGAGGAAAAATGTTAAATAAAGTCGATAATATTATTATCATTTGTTTTACAAAGAATTCTTCAAGTTAAGCGTTAACTTAAATATTTCGTACAGAGATTCTTGATTAAATGATTATATGTTTTTAAGAATATTAAAGCAAATGCAATTTATGCAAGTTGTCGTTAAATAATGAATTAATTCGTTTCTAAAATTTCTCTTGATCCGTCGATTTATATATCTACATCAACAGTTTAGCAGAACGCGATCTAACCATGGATATCAGGAACGAGTTCGCGACACCATCAAATAAAACTACGATTAATTGCTGCTATAACATCACATTGTAGAAGTGCTGGCCGTTTGCCAACACCGTTATTGCTGCAAATAACTTTCTATAAATAATACTTGCGACAAGCGATCTCGGTAGCCAGCCTGCATTTCGAATATAAGTCTTTGACGGGGCGACCGATCGGGATTTGTTACTTTAATAAGTATATGTAGACATTTCTAACACCATTATTTAAAAGAAAGTTCGAAATTAGTATCTAAAAATTAGCAACTTTTTGTACTAGACATTTTTCCGCAAGATGTACATACATTGTATCTATTATTAAATTGCTATTGTTAAATCTGATTTTATTTTACAAAATTATATCTTGTGGCATTTCCCTTTTAATCTCTCTTCTGTACGCCATTGTGGATTTTAATCGAGGTTCTGTAATCATGATAAATATATATATTCCATATAATTCTACTGTGATTTTCGAATTTTTTCTCAAACTTATTCTTACTGTGACAAGCAAAAAGTGAGTTTTAAGATGTTCAATAAGAAATTTTAAATTAAAACATGTAGTAGAATTAATTTTGGCCAATACTGTCAATTGGATGCTTGTTATAAAAGAAATGTTACTGATTTTATCAGGCAAACAACCGATCAATTATAATTTTGTATCTGTACGAGATTGAAATCTATTATATGTACACGCGAAAGTTCGAAATATGATAAATTACGTGTTAATTCTATCACAATTTCGAGAAATCTGTTCAAAACCTAGTTTTGTAAAATCAAGCCTGTTTGGAACCGAACAATAAAATAAAATGTCAAAATTGATAAAAATAATGATTGATAGTTACTACGTCGAATATAGATCAGAAAAAAATTAATTTTATTGTGTTAAATTCATCCTGACGTAATAATCAGATGATTACTATAATATTATTATACCAAATGTACAGGATTATATATAATCATTATATAATATAATAATTATTGATAGTTGAGATAATTACTTAATAAAAATATAATAATTATTTAATATATATTATGCTAAATTATTATTTCAAAGGTTCTGATAATTTTCAAATGATTCTATAAATTTATTTAACACTCTTCAGGTGTTGTAAGTGTTCCAATATTTACGAACGACGACGTTCGCGTTTAAAACAAAATGAGAAACGCAATTCCACAGAAAATTGCTCTGTGTCACTGTGGATTTATTCATTTTGCTGCAACTTTCCATTACAGGGGGTTGTCTGACAACGTAAATGTGATTTATCGAACAATTAACATCATTCTACAACAAAATATAGTACTTTCTTTACCGTCAGCCAGGAACTTTGAAGGATAGCAGAGCTTCGCTGCTATTTTATTATCAGTTTGAGGCACGCGTTTCATTAGCTGCTTGCGACTCGTAAAGTCGTAGTTTAAGGTAGTTTAATGGGATCAATTTAGTTATTTTGAAGATGTTTGTTACGCGGCTTGTTTACATAAGGCGAAATTTCCTTAAAAAAACGTCGCGTATAAAAGACATCGAGGATTAATAGGATCATTTGACATTTTTACCGCGTCGTGGTCTATCGGCAATTTATGCATCGGCCTTCCTTTAATTTTTCACTGTTAACGTAAATCCCAGTCGTTTTGAATTTAAGACAGTGAACGATTATTGAGCTTCACGATTCACATCGATATCCAGAAGATCGAAGACGATTAATTTCTTCATTCTTATCGGTTCAAAGTTTGATTAATTAACAAAATTTAGCAGGAAGGAGTGTTACGAGTGTCTCTTTTGTAACTTTTCATCTTCTTTTCTATGTTCTAAGTCTAAATACTGATTAAATGTTTTAATTTGTAGAATGAATATCATTTTCTAGTAACGAAGCATTACATATGAATACGAGAACTTTATGACACAATGAAGAAAAAAATTCATCGATGTTCTTATATATTATTTCGAGTATGAAATTGCAGATGATATGATAAGCCTGGAATGCAAAGGAGCTTCGTTCTTCCGCCAGATGAGCTTGCCAAATATTTGACTCAAAATATCATTCTACATAAATACTGTCAAACAAGAAGAGGGACAGAGTAAGTGTATTCATCATTATCCGTATGACTTTGTGTAATCAATGTTCACAATAATACAAGTAAAATAAAACTAACGTTACGCAATAAAACAAGTTTGTATATTTACAACTAACAACGAAGATTCGAAATAAGATAAACGAACGCGTTACGTACAGCATTTGAAAACCGATTCAAAATTTTCATAGAAAGAACTTTTACAGCAGCAAGGCAAGAAATGTCATTCTCCTTTTTATTCCTGAAAGTACAAACTGTCCATTCCGAAACAAGAAACAAACTGACGTACCTTTCCTTTATCTAAAAAAATATAACTTTCTCTTTCTCAGGCGGTGCTCGTGCACGTGCGAGACCACAGCAGTCCATCACTTTACCGCGAGCTGAAGAACGACCGAAGAATCACCTTGCCACCCGTTATCACGTTGGTCATTTTGTCGCTAAGAATGGCATACGAGACGATCGGGAAACTCAATCGTCTTCGATTCGTTGAAAGGTGGGCAACTCGACCGAGCACAAGTCCCGAAGCAGCCATCAATTTCACGCGCAGAGGCTCGTGCTGCGATATTCAAAGGGTTGAACATGTCATCCTATCGAGTCCTCCTCGGATTCCCTGTTTAACGACACCGTGACGGTTGAAGGGGCGAGCGACTGCGTGCGTGTATACGTCTTTGTATGGCATCGCGAGCCGTAAGAAGAAAAGAAGAAGAAGTATAAGAAGAAGAAGAAGAAGAAGAAGAAGAAGGCGATGAAACGAAGGCGAGGGGCAGAGCGAAGCCGAGGGGGCAAGGAGGAAACGGGGGAGAGCACGAGGAACGAGACAGAGGCCTGGGTAAGTTATCACTCGAGTCTGGACCAGGAATAGTCGCCATGTGGTGGCAGCCGTGGGACTGACTATTTTCGGGTAAAGACAAATTTGGCGCGATGCGCTACGAGGGAGCAAGCAAGCCTCGTGGTAGTCTCAAGTGTAAGCTTACATATGCCGGGGGGTGTCGGCCACGACATGGAGAGGCCAATGGGATCTGTGCGGCCATTTTTAGAGGGCTCGTTGAAGCAACGGTGCTCCAAAGCTTTGGCAGCATTCAGTCTGAAGCAGTCAGCCAGTTAGGAGGATTCGCTAGAAGTTCTTGACTCGAGCTAACTCTACTAACATTCGGGACCAGGGAGGAAATCCTCGACCTCTCGAAGGACTCGGTCCGCCTCACACGTCCAACATGGACGGCCGCCGGTTGCCGGCCGGGACCGTACCTATCCGCAATCGAATCGAACAGGAAGTGAGAGCAATCAGGTACATTGCCGGTCGGTGAAACGTACCGTCGGTTTTCAAGATCCATCCTCGTGATCGCGCGGACTTCGACCGTGTCGGAACTAGTGGATTACGTAATCGTCCGATTGGAAGATGAAACGCGGCACCGTCACGGCAGCAGAATTGTCTCCTGGCCTTCGTCGTTCAGAAGTGGCCGATTTTCATCGATCCGGTCCCGATGAAACGGAAGAGGAGGGCCGATCATCTCCAACGGTGGGAGTTCGTTTTCCATTTCGAAACCGGGCGATGCCGTTCCGTGCTTCCTTACTTCCCATAGTGAATGCGACGTATGGAATGTAAAGAAGTATGGATCTGCGCCCAGGTGTATCATCGGACCGGAAACACGCCGCGGGACTGGCTGTTCTCCGCGAACCTCAACAGCTGATCAAATAGTTGGCCATATGTTTCTCCAGGCTTGAAGATACCAACGATTTCCCAACACATCGATGAAATCATGGAGAACGACCGGTGCATTCTGAAATGTTTTCAGAAACGACGATTCTTGTTCCTGTGGAAAGACAACGAAAGAGAAACCGGAAGTCTCGAGAGTGCGCGACGCAACGTTTACGCGAGGTTGTTCGAGTTCGATACGATTCGATCGTCAGAATGGAAAGAAATGCTAAGCAGCAATAGTCTGGCACTGCTATCTAGATGCCAGAAATAGAGGTAGTTCCTCGTATCCCGTAACGTGGACTCGGAACATCTTTCCACGTCCATGTGGCCTCTCTCGTGTTCCCTATTTACGGTCTCGTCACGACTACCATGTGGTCGCCAGCTTTATTTAAATCGGCAAAATATTTCAAGGCGTTCCCAGACCCGTTTATCCCCCTCCCCCTCCCTCCCCGTCGAGCCTCGATTCATAAACTAGAGATTTTCTTCTTGCAGATGACGGCGATGCACCGTTCGAACAGTAAAAACCGAGGAAAAAGTGCTCTGGTGCTCTCGCTTTCATTTATTTTTTTTTTTTTGCCCCTCTCTCTCTCTCTCTCTCTTGATTCTGTGCAACGTATACCAACAAGTAAAATACTACTCACAGCGGGACCGTAAGTATTTCAGCGTGAAACGCCTTTGAATTTTCTAAATTTAACAATTTAATTGAATAGGAACGAATTTTAAGTAATTTCAACGTGATTTTTAAATAATTAGTTAAATAAACGAACGAACTGCCCGAGTTGAGCAAAGAATTTCAGAAGCATATCTTTGTACGTTCTCGAGTTTACGTAATATCACGAACCTCGATAAGAAGCGTTCGTTTATGAATTTATTAAACCCACCGTCTAATTTTATTACAGCGGGAAGAAGTGCACGGCCGAGGAGAATGGAAGGGATGAAAATGGCAGAAAGAGAAGGGAGAGCCTGGAAGGAGATTCTCGTTCGGCGGTGGAGATCAAAAATAGGACGTATGGTCACCAGCATATTTCCATAAATGAGTTCTCCGGTTACAGAGTCTATTTCCGTTCTGGGCCGGCGACCGGTGTTGCAGCCAATTACAATCGGTTCCAGCAAAACGATTTACGAGTTCCGAGGCCGGAACTAGGGATCTACTGTGCGGAGTAACACACGAAGTTGTTAAAACGACAGAATAGAGCAGTCAAATTCTCGCGTGTTTTTTTTTTTTTTTTTTTTTTTAATCGTCGCGGAGGATAATGATCGCGAAAGATTGTGATTACGAGGGAAAGGCTTAGAGAGCCTGACGTCAGTGAGCTTCTGTGACGTAATCGGTCTTTGAACTATAGTTACGGATTTATATTAAGTCACGAGTAGAGTACGAATTTTCGCGCAATGAACATATTGTTGTAAATGCATCTTAATTTAGTGCTGTTGATACAATTTAACGCTAGAATTGTCAACAACTAAAGCATGAAACTTGTATCGTGATAATTGCACAAAATAGGAAATAATTTTTAGCACGGCAAAGGACACAATGTTCCTACATAAACATTATTCACATTTTATAAATACTTTTTATGCATCGTTGGAAATCTATAAATTAAATATGTACGAAATCTATGTGAAACTAAAATATGGAAATTTAGAAGAAATTACGAATTATTATTGTGATCATTTTGATCACTTTGGTAGTTCGAATGTTAAATAATGTACAGGATACTGTACAATTTGAATACTTTATATATTTTTGCATATTATGTACATTCTCTATAGTTTTGCATTATTAAATTTCCTATAAATGCATAAAATAAATCTACAGTCAATTATAGTTATAAGTAATGTGAATTTTCAGAGAGCCGAGTTTATAATAAGTTAGAACACGGTCTAACATATCATTCAGATTTTGTAAGAAGGGAATAGAAAACAGTTTTAGTGAAAATAGAAAACTGACGAATAATTTTAGAAAATGAGAGGAAATGCATCATTAATTATCAATAGATTGTTGTTTATTTTCGTTTAATATATAGGTATTGAAATAATTACTTATTATTACCTAATATCTATTTGCATCAAGTATATCTAATTAAATTTTATTTTTTCTACTTAAGAATTGAATTATATGCATAAATTTAATTTTTGTTTTAAAAAATAACATATGTATTTTAGATTTGTATTTGTAAGTATTTTATTATTAAATACCTCGTGTATTTTAAGAAATTAAAATCACCAACTGTTTATATGTTTATGTTTGAACAACAGTATTATTGCAATAATAGGCATTTATATTTTATAGAAAAATAGACAAATGTTTAAAATAGTAGTAATGTTTAAAATAGTACATCCAGTATTAATTTCATTTATATTATTTATAAGTCTTTAATAATTAAATTATAAGTCACAGAATTATATTTATCTTAAATAGAATTTATATTTATTTCATTTCTTTGGAATTTACTAGTTTGATATGAAATGTAATTATTGTAAATATATGTACAATATATTTACATTTCATTCGTTCAATGTACTCTGAGAAATTTACTTTTATATTAATACTTCATTCGTAGATCATTCTTGAATTATCTTTATTTGAATCATCTTTATCCGAGTCATAAGTAAATTATTAAATTAAATAACTTCGTTATCATATTTGTACAAAATATTCTTATATAATGTTTCAAATTTTACTTAGATGTATGAATCTTTGTATTGTATCATTTTATATCTTTTGTATTATATCATTTGTTTAAGAATTGATTTAAGAAATATTCAATATATCTATTCAATATCACAATTTGTTCATATCGTCTTATATTCAACTATTTTCTTATATAACGAACTACAACAACGAGATAATATATATAATCCTGAATATTAATGCAAATAAAAATAAACCATTTAATAAAATTATATAAAAGCTATAGATATGTATATTTAATTATATATAAAAATATATAAAATTATATATGTAAAAGATATCTAATTATATATAAAAAAAATTATGTAAAATACTATAAACAATTTTAGTGTAAGATTTTTAATTTTTAGACAAAGAATTTCACCAGTCTGGGAAAGTAATTTCTTTAACATCGGTAATAAATATTTATGCTTTCATCCTTATCATATCCAATGTTGCATACAGTTCACTAGAGGTCCGTAATATGGCGCTGAGACTAGAACGATAGCCAAAGGGCACATAAAATCACTATACTCTTAAAATTTAGAGTAACGTTTCACTTTATTACGCTATTATAAGAACTGATTACTGTCATTTTAATTGCCTTCTAAAATTTTTATACATACATTATTTAATTTCGCAAAAATAAATTCTTACCAATTATGCAATGACAATAGCAACGTAACATAATTCATAGCTACTTCAAGTCGTAAAATAAATTGCAAACAAAATTAGAAATTTTGTAGAATTCGGTCATTCGCAACGACAGTGATCTAATATGTATATATCTCGAAAATAAAAACAAGAATTCCTTAGAACGTATATATTTGAATTTTGTCTGATGTGTATTAACTTGCACTCACAATGTTTATTTATTTATTTTTTTTTTTTTACAAAACACTCTTCAATTTTTCATCGTTGCATTGGTTCAGTTATATTCCTTACGTGTGCACGTCGGTTGACATTAACCTTGGTACCGGTCGCCAATCAAATCTGTCACTCGTACGATGCATGTCCACGGTCTCGTCAACGATTCGACGAAACGAACGCGAGAAACAGCGAGAACGGAACGGCAGACAGGGGATAAAAGTGCGCTAAACGCTCGATTTATGAGGTTGAGACAGCACCACCGGTATGAACGTTCACCCTAATAAATAACTGACAGTCTACGGAGCAGAAACCATGGGGGTGGAGGTGGATGTGATCCCAGCTATGCGTGGAAGCCTCGACTATTCAGGATGCAGGCACGGCCGGATTTGCATTGCCGTCATTGTCGCGATTTGAATCGGTCGCTCGCTTGTTCGCTCGCGCAAACGCCTAGACTCTGTCGCGGCTTGCTACCATTGTGGCGAATAATTCTGCGGTGCCACGGGATTAACGATTGCCTTGAATGGGAAACGGACTACCGCGGCCAAGGAGTTGTGCCCCGGCTTTCGGCTATTCCGTCGTCGCGTAAAATGGCACGGCCTTTGTGAGAAGAGTTTCGTAATTTGAATTTGCATCGCGCTAATTTTTGCCGATATTAATCTTTTCGATACGGGAGGGCTCAGTCAGCTCTGTTTTGTAGTTTTGTTTGGTAGCTGAGCGCGAACGAAAGTGCTGAGATTGAACGACGAGAAATTGTATATGATGCTTCAAACTGTTACAATCCACTTGGTTAATAAAGCATCTACTATTCTGTCAGTTTCTTTGAAGATGTGTCGTACGCGGGTGAGAAAGTACAGATATTTCTATCTTCTTGAATTTTAAAAATTCAAAGGTCTCTAAAAGCATTGAAAATTTTTTTCATGATCAAAGTCACTTTCACCAGATCCATAAGACAGGCCTTGAGGATCGAAATTTTCTCTTTACAATCATTTCTTAAAACTTGCTGTACGATATTTTTTTTGAACGACGAAAATTCAACTTTTGAGACATTTCGTCTTGTCTAACCTCGTGGTGAAAAAAAAAATTTGACGGCAAGTTTTTTAATTAATCTTCAATTTTAATCTTAAAAAAATTTTTTCGTATTTTTAGTAACGTTTGAATTTTTAGAATTTTTTATAATTTACTTTAATGAAAATTCTTTCCCACGTACTGTATGATGTTTGAAAAGATGAACACAGTTTAAATAGATCGTGAAGTTATAATAGCTTAAAATATACAATTTTTCATCGTTATTCACTCTATATTTTTCTCTTTTCGTTCCTACAATAAATCAACTTCTCCCATCGAATCGCAGTGCAACATTAAAATCAGAAAACCAAAAAAAAAAAAAAAATGTACTTGTCATATTTTCTCTCCTCTGACGTCCGTTCGTCTGCTATTCTTCTTCTCGCTCGATTTCAATCCGTTTGTCATTCGTTTCTCGTCACGAAAGAAGAGAAAATTCGTCGAAATCGATTTCCCCGTTTCCGTCAGCCAACCGGACGAGCGAGCAAATTCCATAGCAAGTAATAACTCAATTATTGACTCATGACTTTAAACGGTTAGCGTTTCGTAGCGACCACGTGCGTCGAATTCCGCGGCCTGAATACGCGTGCCATTCGATTTCGCAGACAATTCGTCGGGCGGAAAGGGAGAGAAACAAGGGTGAAAAGAGAGGCGAGGCCAGAGGCGAGAGACCAGGTGAGGCAGAGGCCATAACGAACCGGCATTAAATTTGTCCACGGCAAAATACCTCTGTCCGCACAGTGGCGGTAATGTTCTTGATTAAGCCGAATGAATTATGCTGATATTATTCCCGTAAAATAATAATATTAGTCCTCGTATTATTGGCTAATGTTGGCATTTGCATTAATGCCTGCCTCTCTAATTGACGGGTCGCCACGTTTTGTCTATTTGTCATACGCGTTACACCGACTACCGATTACCCTGCTAATTGTAAGCATCAATGTAAAACGGGCACATTATTCTGTCGCTGCAAAGGCTATAGGCCAATCTATACGGCGATTCTGCGAATCTGCTGGATATTTCGACAATATCGAATTTAGTTTGTAATATTTAAAAAAAAAAAAAAAAACGATCGCCAGGTGATGAATTTTATCGTGCGCTATATCCCGCAGCTACTCGACTATTGCTAAATGAAAATGTATCAAAGGTATTGAAAAATCTCATTTTTCAACGAAGTGTTTCTTTTTTTTTTTTTTTTTTTTTAAATCAAGTTCTGTGTTTCACTTACGTGGTATCAAATCTCTGTAGTTATAGAGGAAATAGATGGACCTAAACTTGGACCTAATTCATTCTGGAGGTTTCTCTGAATTTTATTCGGCACGCAAACGGCTAATCAGTGTGTAAATGCAATAATAAATACGACTACGTACAAATACTTTTCGTAGTTACTGTATAACTTACTAAATTTCGTGCTGCAGTGATTAATATTCGAACATCATGGTATCAAGAGATTATTGTTCCACAGATTTGTTTATAATAATCTAGTAATAGTGTTGTTACAATAATCTGATTACTTTTTAACGTAATATATATATATATATATATATATATATATATGTATTATTTATAGTTTATATTAATTCTCTATATTTCACATCACGTATTTTTAGTATAAAATTAATAAAACGTATCCGACCTTTGTACAACAAAGCTGTGCGCATAAAATAAACAAAATTTACGCTTCTAACTAAAATAATTGTTACAATAAATTACTTATTAATTCTGTAAAATTATCGTAAACAAATATATATAAAGAAGCGATCTTGTGGACACTATATAATGTCTGAATGTTAATAAAAATCGCACTTTAATCTGCTCAACGAGAAACTAAGAAAAACAGAAGAAGTTAGTGGAAAGTACAATAAAAGGGGAGGGACTTCATTTGATGTGAAATGTGCTGTAGAAATTCGAACATTTCGAGAGGGGACATGCATTGGCGTAGGTGAATCGGTAGTCAAACGGACCCGAAGAGGGTTGTTGGCCATGCGACGCCAATAGAAGCCACTGGGGGTCAAATGACAGGCAAGCGCATCTATTGGCTACTCGGTACGATCGTCACGTTCGGTACGACAATTTATGACGATTGGAATAGCGGCCAGTTCAGCCGTTACACGTTCGCCCAACGGTGCCGGACTACTAAAGTTCCAAACGAGACACCTTACCAAACTGGTCCAATTAGCAGGAGCAGCGTGAAAAAGGATTCAGCCGTCGTATCAGCCTGTAACGAACTTCTTGATAGGAATAATCCACCTGTACTCCACCTTCGTTCCTCTAAAGCTCGATTTTATCTCGATTCCCTGGACGAAATTTAGCTTCCCGAGGAA